TTGGAGACGATCATCACCTCAGACGAGGGATGGTCCGGAGGGCTTTCTTCAATCAGACACCACATTTGAGTGCCTGAATGATCTTGGAATTGAGCAATCTTGGCCTCATTGGATTCGTCTTGTCAATATGCTCGATTTTATTATAGCCTTGCTAAATTCGACATTTGTTTAACCTTCTTAATGTCCTGAAAACTTTTAAGAGTGTTTTAACAACTTGATTTGATCTTGATTTGACTTGTATTGGACTAATTTTGGTAACATTGAATTCTTCTTGTCAAGTCGGTAAGTTTGATTGTAAGTTTGCTAAAATCGGAGTTCTGGATGAGTTTTTTTTTAGGTTTGAATCTTTTTTGCTTAAAAATCATCTCGAGATTTGTGTAATGCCTCGAGATTCATGCCAAATGATTGAGATTTGCTGTAGATGTATCACGACACAAATTTTGAGACATGACACAAATGTCAAGGCAACCTTTTGAGCAAGAAATGTTCATTCTTTGATTAAGAGTCTTCCAGAAGTCCAATTTCAACAAACTTACAGACAAACTTACTAACAAGATAAGACAAAATTAATGATACCAAAATTATTCAAATCTAAGACAAATCAATCGTCAATCAAGCTATTAATTCATTTTTGGAGGCTTTTCGGGCATATTTGAAAGACCAAATTGATGTCGAATCTAGTGAACTTATGATGAAAATGAGCTTATCGATAAGACGAATCCAATGAGCCCAAGTTCGCTCAAATCTGACATCGTTAAGGTACTCAAATGTTCATCAAACGTCGTAAGGAATCTTTCTGGGTCGTCCAATCAGAGTGGTTCATATTCCGTCAAAGGAGTTCAAGTTTAACATCACCTTGTTGCCGACTGTCGTTGACCATCAATCGCCGATCACCGCAGACTACTAGTCGCCAATCACGCGAACTTCCAGTCACCGATCGTCGCCATCTCGTCGACCGCTGCTGACAATCAATCATCGGCCCTCGCCAATCAACATTGGGCGTCGCTCACTTCTTAGGATAAGTTCATTCACACAACGACTTTGTAGCTCGAAAAATTGTGTAACACTTTTGTGTCTGTGGGACAAGAGATAGTACTTGTAATCTCCAATTTATAGTGGATCTCTTTAGCCGGGACAAGTTCCGTGATTTTCTCTTTATATGATTTTTCAATTTTTCTTATTATTATTATTTAAATAAAAACTTCTGGTGCCTCTATTGTTTATTTCTTTTTATCTGAGCGTGTGCTGAATTCTCATGCAACACTAAAAAGATGCTCCATTAATCTACAGCCGCGAATCTTCTAGCACACATCAATTCTTTTGCTATTTTTTACATTTTTCTTGCAGTGAAAATTTACTTTTATGTATGATTTGTATGATTATTTTGTATCTTTTTTCTATTATTTTTATAAGAAGATTTACATACATACACACAATTCTTATGTAATTACATATCTACATCTAAATTTTAAAATTTACCTTTATATTCTTTTGTCAATATTTGAAAAGTTATATTTTATATTTTATATTTTAAGGATTAGTAATCGAGGTATTTTTGATGTGATGCAAAGATGTGTTGTAAATATAAAAATCAAAATTTTAATATAAATATATAAGGTGTGATATGTATGTTAATTCATCTTTTAAAAACTATTAACAATACAAACAGCATAATTTTTGGAGTATTTACACACATACCATACCATTCTTTTCTATTTACATATCTAGCACGTTAATTTTCTATTTACATACATAACACTCTGATGTATGTAAATATATGAGAACTGTGTAGTGAGCACTTAGGGTGTAAACGAGCCGAACACTAGCGAGCCCAGGCTTAGCTTGTGTTCGGCTTGTTTATATTTCGAGCTCAAACAGTGTGTTCGTGTTCGGCTCTTTTGCTTAGCGAGCCGAAAACGAGTCGTTCACAAACAAAGAATCGTTTTGACAACCCTAATCACGTAGCTATAAGATGTTAAGGATTGGGACAAGATTTAAAATATCATTTGAATCTAATTTATAGTTTTTATTCTGTTTTCTTTATTAATACTTTTAATTGATTATAAATCTTTGTAGTCTTGTAGTCAATTAAATTTCTTAAAAATGCTACTCATCAAAGTTATAAATATAATTGATTAGTAGTATTTCGAGCCAAAACGAGCAGAACATAAACAAACAAAAATTTATTTGTGTTGTTCGTGTTTTAGCTAGTTAACTTAGCGAACAAGCCAAACAAGAGTTTCTTAACGAGTCGAACACAAACTATTTGCGAACAATGAGCGGTTTTGACAGCCCTGTGAGTACTTACATTTTTCATATATCACATTTAAACATTGATATTTACGGAATATGCACACAGATTTGCTGGACCGTAAACCATTCTTTCTCCCAGTTAAGAAAATTTTCAAGGTGTCTTTGTTCCAGCTAAGAAATTTTTCAACAGCCAATGGGGGCAGGCATAATGCGACAGCAGAATAAACATTCCGTCTCCCTTTCCAAATCGGTGTGGCCGCCCCCACTGGCCGCGGTTGATGGGATCGCCGGCACCGGAGATTGAAGAGAGGAGAAGGAGAAGACAATGGCTGACTTCCGCGGCGAGGCATCCCCTTCCGTGCTGAATAATATGTCGTTGCCGAGAAGATAGCCCATTATGGAGGAGAAAGTCTTCCCGTCGCTGCCTTCCCCAAGCAAAATGCCACAGTCGCCGGCGCTCTATTTCGTCCAAAGATTCATCTTGGTTTCGCCGCCGGCATGAGAAGCCTGTTACGTCAATCTGCTGTTCGAACGTTCGCCGCCGCCGGAACTGATTGCAGGCAGCAGAACAAGGCTCTCTCTGAACTTATCCGGCGAGGTCGCCTCCGTGAAGCTCGCCAGGTCTTCGACTCCCTTCCCCACCGCAACGTCTTCATATGGAACTCTATGATCTCTGGATACGTCCGTCAGCGCGAACTTGCACCTGCTCGCAGACTGTTTGACGAAATGCCTCAAAGAGACCTCGTTTCATGGAACTGCATGATATCCGGCTACACAAGTTCATATGACCACAGCGAGCTTAAGGAGGCACGTCACCTGTTCGATCAAATGCCTGTACGAGATGTCATTTCTTGGAATACAATGATTTGCGGGTACGCCAGGAATGGAAAAATGGTTGAAGCGATGCAACTGTTTGGTGGAATGCCTGAGAGAAATGTTGTTTCTTGGAATACAGTGATTACCGGTTTACTTCGCGTGGGAGATATCAGGAGTGCAGTAGAGCTTTTCGAGATAATGCCCGTTCAGGACGCGGCTTCTCTGAACGCACTAGTTTCGGGGTTGATTCAAAACAACTTATTGGAAGAGGCGACGAAAATCTTGCTTAGGAGCGCTAAAGCTTCAGACATTGAGGGAGTTGTTGATGCTTTTAATACCTTGATTGTAGGGTATGGCAGAATTGGGAGGTTAAAGGAAGCCCGGAGAGTGTTTGACTTGATTCCATACGAACAACATCAAAACTTTCAGATCAGATTAAAGACCAAAAACTTTCATAGGAATGTTGTTTCATGGAATTCTATGATCATGTGTTATGTAAAAGCTGGTGATCTTATATCTGCAAAAAAGCTATTTGATGAAATGCCTGCAAGAGATTTGGTTTCATGGAACACCATGATCACTGGTTTTGTGCAGGCTCTAGAAATGGAAAGGGCTGAAGCTCTTTTCCTCCAATTGGTTGAACGCGATTCCCGATCATGGAACACGATAATTTTTGGTTTCGCCCAAAAGGGTGAGGTGGAGAAAGCACGAAGCTTTTTCGACCAATCACCACATAAGGAGCTCATCACTTGGAACACGATGATTTCTGGCTACGAACAAAATGGAGATTTCGAAGGGGCAATTGGGCTTTTCTCCAAAATGTTTTCTTCCGGTGAGAGATTTGACAAACATACCATGTCCTCGTTGCTTAGTGCCTGTGCGGCACTTGCATCTCTAAGACAAGGCACTCAAATTCACCAACTCATCATTAAAACTCTTGTACCAGATACCCCAATTAACAATTCTTTGATCACCATGTACTCAAGGTGTGGGTGTGTGATTGAGGCAATGTGCGTGTTTGAAAACATGGAACAAAGAGATGTCATTTCATGGAACTCAATGATAGGGGGGTTTGCACACCATGGATTTGCTATGGAAGCGCTTCATCTTTTTAAGGAAATGAAGAATGTGAAAATTCGACCAACGCAGATAACGTTTGTTGCCATTCTGCATGCCTGCGGGCATGCGGGATTGGTGGAAGATGGGAAGAGGGAATTTGAATCAATGATTAAGGAGTTTAAGTTAGTTCCTAATGTGGAGCATTATGCGGTCCTTGTGGACCTCATCGGGCGGCATGGGCAACTTGATGAAGCTTTGGAGGTGATTAAAGACATGATTTTTCCTCCTGACCGGGTAGTTTGGGGTGCTCTTCTTGGTGCTTGTAGGGTTCATAACAAACCAGACTTGGCTGATGTAGCAGCAAAGGCCTTAGCAGCAATGGAGCCAACTGGATGTGCTTCGTATGTGCTGAGGTACAATATCCATGCAGATGAGGGGAGATGGGAGGAAGCTTTACAAGTGAGGCAATTAATGGATAGGAAAGGGGTTTTCAAGCAACCAGGATATAGTTGGATTGAATTGCAGAATAAAGTTCATGTTTTTATTGCTGGAGATTGCTCTCATCCTTTATCTGAGGAAATATACTCGCTATTAGAGACCTGCAACAGGCTCATCATAGATTCAAACTTGGATTGATATGCCAAACAATGAACTTGTTTTAACCCTTCTACACACAGAAGGCAGCAACAACTTCTACTGGTTAGGAGGCCTGGGAGAATAATCTGATGACATGTTACTCTGATTTGGACGGTGGGTTTCAGGGATGGAATGAGAAGTACTGAGGAGAAAGGGGAGCAGAATCAGATTAATGAATGTAAGTGGAGAATTGAAGCCGTATGGAGAAAAAAAGCTGTGGATGAAGATGTGTTGGTTTATTAGGTACAAAGGCAATAATTTTGAATTCTGATTCATGTTTTTTCGAGTGAAGATATCGGCGATGAGATTAATAGTTCGGATAGTTTAGAAGTGATTTAGCTTTTAAACTTATTTTACACCACAATTTACAGTTTGCAGGTTAACCAGAAAGCCTTACAATTCCAATTTTGGGACATTTGCGTACATACCACACAATTCTTATGTATTTGCATGTTTACCACCTAAACTTTCATATTTACCCAGGTCTATAAGGTCTCCTTGGACGACACAAACCATAGCTACTAGTTTCTTTTGGTGGCACAATTTAATGAGTTTTTCTATTTTGAGCTGTTGTGTGTGGCATCATCCTTTTTATTATTTGTTGTTCCATGACTTATATATATAACTATGAAGATTAATGTTAGCTTAGTGAATGTCTTTTTCTTTTAAATGATAAATTATGATATATTTGGGAGAATTTGATGAAGTTTTATATATAATGGCAGTTTGGGAATATATTAAGGATCATACATATATATTTATGTATATGATTGATGAGAGTTTGTGAATAATATATTAGTGAATATGCTTTATTTATTCATAATTTTTGTATGTGGTTAGATGGATATGCTGTGAAATTGATTTTTACCATTCTACTTTATTGCGCAAAGTCATAGAAATTTAAATAAATAAATTATCTACGAGTCAATTTAAATATGTCTGATTATGATTATACTTAGGGTGCGTTTGGGCCAGCTGATAAGTGCGGGCGGCGTTTTCAAAACGCTGTCGTACCGTTTGATTCGCGAGTTTCGTCAGTTTATCCGAAACTGCGTTTGAGTTTTTACATTAAACGCAGACCGCGGGTCGACCCTTGCGGCCGGCCCACCGGCCGGCCCCCAGGATAAGCAGCTTATCCTGAAAT